GATGAAAAAGTCATAATTATTAGTGAATGTAAAACTCATTTGCTCAAATCAGAGTTGCTTTTCCTCAACATCAAACATAATCATAATGCAAGAAAGGACCTTCGAGGAACCATGCTATCATCTGAAATGAATGAAAAAACACTACTATTTTATGTTATCACTAACAGTAACATAAAGGCAATGTTCTTTTATTGTTTTTCCTTTCTTCTTTGTTAACAAATTTCAAACAAGATGCTTGCATGAAATGATAGAAGCAAGGAGAAGGAAAACATACTCATTGATACGATTGTAGATTTGAAGGACCTTCTCCATCAAGAAATTGTAGAAAGTTCCTAATATACCCCCTATAACTCCGAGAAGCATTACAAGAGGCAAGTCCAATAATCGATAAGCAATGGTTGTTGAAGTAACATCAAACATTATAAGCCCGCCCTTTCCGAACAAACCACACTTTCCGCTTTTACAAATATCAATTAAAGCTTGAAGCACAATTGCAACTACAGCTGTTGTAAAGAATGCTCTCCACAATAAGGAACTTCTCCACCTGTAGGGCATTAACATTTTAGTGATTATCAAACACTGCGGGGCCTGAGGTTTAGCATAATAAAGCTATTTTACAATGAAAACAACAAGATTTGTTGGCTGTGTATTCTTTTTTGTCAAAAGTAAGAATTAATTTGAATCTCCACGTTATTTTATAGCACAAAATTCATAAAAAAGATGCATGAAGAAGATTTGACAAGAAATGTAATTGAGAAAATGCTATTGAATTAGTAATAGTGGCATCAGAATTCAATGGTATGGTATTCTAGTCTACACTACATTGCAATTGGAAAGCTAAAATGATCAAAACCAATAATATGAGCAAACCAAAGTTTACCACGAAGACAATGCCTCAAGAGTAAAAAGAACACCACCAACCGGCGAACGAAAAGCAGCAGCTACTCCTGCACCAGCTCCGCAAGCCACAAGGTCCCTGCGATCTTTATCATTCTTTAAATATTTCAGCCATTGTCCTATCAGGTGACACTTATGCAGCCTTTCATGCCCAAATAAAGCTGCAATGCAAGCACCAATGTGCACCATTGGGCCTGCCTTGCCCACATGCAAAGATGATGACACCGCAGCAATGCAACCAAAAATCTGCCATAGAAACAAGAAAAGAAAAGAGGCATTTTCCATATTTAAAAAATCAAGCTTTCTCCAATAGCAGGATCCAAAACATGCTTAGATATATGAAAGTTTAAAAATCAATCTTGAGGTTATCCATAAATGCAAAGTTTAATAGTTAGAAATACATTCATGAAACAGAGAAAGAACAGAAAGGCGAAAATTTTTATATAATAATATCCTAAAAGCTAAAATAGTTTAAGATACCAACAACTTCAATAAGGGGGCTGTTAATTTGTTGAAAAT